CAATTTTAAAACTTAGCTTTTAATATATTATTACATATTAATTTTGAGTTTCAACCTTCAAGATTCAGGCAGCATTTTTTTATGCGATCTGTATTTAGTTAGATAATTCCAATTATTTACCTGATTGAAGTTAATGGTTTAACGAGGCGTACTCACGTACTTGATTGAGTGATAATATCATATTTTACTTAAACTAGCTCTCAATCAGCTTTGAACTTTACCGCTTGATTTCTTTAAAGAAATATTTGCGGGCGTTAAGTTCTAATTTGGAAAACAGGTTTTCTTGGCATATTTCCGAAGTCGTGTGTTTTCAAAAGGTACATAGATGCATAGAGTTATTTCTATCTGCTCAAGTTCTGGTAAAGAAGTAAATTTTAGAGGCACTCGTACTCTTAATTACTTGGAAAAATGTGGAAGAGTCCAGAGCCAAGCATTTAACCGACTTTGTGTTGAGATGTTTATAAAGTAACGACATCGTTTATCAAATTTTTGCAATTTTAGTTCCGCAAAATTTTGGTTTCTGTCATCCGGGTTTAAAGCGATAAATTTGCAGATATTGCTTGCCTAAATTCCGAAAAATATTCGTATTCACTGTGCCGTCGTTATAAGCATTAATTCCATCAATGTGGACAATCACAAAAACACCTACTACAGCAGATGCAATACAATAAAAATGAAACCTTACAAATTACGTGCTCAATGAAAGGCGTCGAACACGATAATTGCGTGAAAAAATTTCCATGCAAATTACAAATCGGCAACGTGGGCCAATAAATGAAGTGTGTGTAATAAACGTGTGTACATAGCAGAGCACAACATAGCATAGCATCACATAGCATAGTGGTGGTATACTGTAAAAGCAAACTTTGTGCTTTTACCTGGAATGGTTACAGGGAATGTGCGTCATAGCAGCTGGAGTGAGGCGGCAAGCAGAAGTGAGAGCAAGTGAATGCACGGCACTTGCCTACGGCTGAGTGGATCTGAAAATTGCAGAGGCAAAAACCAAAAATAACACCTTGTGCAAGCAAAGAGCACTGGACAGCAAACATATTGTGGTTGACGAGGGAAATGACGTACAGAGCCGAAAGAAATATTTGGCGAATGAAAATTGTAAGGGGTCAGGTGACATTTTTAAATTACCATGTCAGCACTTGTCGGACAGCGTCGACAGGCGAATTATGAATGTAAAAAAGCCCGTTGATGAAGGAGGTTTTGTAGAGCGGGAGGGGAGTTAGAATGACAAAGAAGTGCATTGTATGCGTTGCAGGCCGAACGTACGTTCGTTGGGTCCAACGTTTGGCAACTGCTAACAGGGCAACTGGCAAATGGCAATGAATTACTTACACTGGCAGGTGCATGCTTGCATTTTTAACGGTATGCAAGTGTGTGTGCTGGCGCATATGTTTCTATGTATAATGCTGGTGTTGCACCTTATCAGTCGAATTTCCTGCATCAGCCCGCAAGCTGGTGAATGATGGCTGCAACACCTGCTCTTCACTGCGCAAGCAAGTCAGTAGTCGGTGACCAAACTGTTACTGCAGTGTTTGCGTCATGTGTGCGTGTGATGCTATTGTAGCGTGCAAATTGCAACAGCAGGGACGCAGTTCGCCTCAAATACCCTTGGTGGTATATTCGGAATTTATGTCATTTACATTTCTCTGGCATAAGGCAATTTTCTGATGAATGATCTTTTTACTTGCTTTACCATGCATACACTCTACGTCGACAAAGGCGCGCACACCAGCACACCCTTTCACAATGGCACGCTCATGGTGTGCAGTCATGTAGGGATTCGCGTACGTTCGTCTCACACGTAAGTGTATACGAGTATGTATTGAGAATGAAAAATGGTTGCAACTATTTTATATGCAGCATTCCTGTGGCTACCAAATTGCACTCAATATAATTTTATTAAAGAAAGCTTCGAAGTGACAGCCATTTATATTAATATAAGCGGTATACAGCACCAGGCAGTGGTGACACCATTATGTTGAACAATTTCAGATATGAATTTTATAATATATTCACTTTTTTTTTTTTACATTTCGTAGAGGTATCCTGGTAGTAAGAAATCGTTTGCATTTTGGACTCTGTTTCGATTTGGCTAAATTATGCGGCGATTCTTCGTAGCCGAGCATACGTGCTCGAATCGAAAATTTAACAGAACACGGAACTGAATTCTTTATAGCTAACCACAAAGATAAATATTACGAAAAAGTTATATAAGAATAACTTTTACCTCAACAGGCTTTAGCCAACCAACCAAGTGTGGTACATCTTACTCGAAAAGACTTCCCAAAAGGATTGACGTTCCAATTCTCCTACAAGCGGAAGACCTTTACGATTAAAAGAAAATCGAAAACCAAAATAAATTATCTCTGCTTGCTTAGTCGTTTTCGATTCGGGAAAATCAACTTTGCTCAACTGTATCTATCTGTACAAAATTGTACTAAAGCTTAATTTAGGTACGAATTAAATAAGATAAACAGATATTAAGAAACTGATTGACAATATAAAAATATTTTACGTTTTGTTATTCAAACTTGAAACATGAGACCGAGTGGAGTCAGAAATGATGGTTAATACCTTGCGTTCAGTCGGAAAACCGGATATCGCAAATAATTCTTTGAGTTTAGGGTTATTGCAATGGATCCCCTTTTTATCACCAGTCACTATCCGACTATCCGATGCAAAAATATCTTCTTTTTGTAACGTTTATACAGCATTTCTGACATGCAAACCCGTCTTCACATAAACCCACGCCAAAATAGGATGCCTTTCGGTTGAGAGTTTCTTAATATTGAAACAATGAAGTAGAAATCCCCGAAAAAATACTTTTACAAGCACACAGTTCGATGTTGTTATAAATCGAATGTGTATTGGGGGTATTCAAGACTTTGTACCTCAGACGGGAACTTACCTAAAATTTCTAACAACCGAATTGAAAAAAAATTAAATTTAGAAAATTAATGAAATATTGTCTTTTCTCGGTACCACTCGTCTTTTACTCCCCCTAATAAAAAGAAATTTGACGGCGTTTGAATTAAATAAAACAGAATATCGTAAAAAGACTAGCCATTTAACCAACGTCTATATTAGAATATGGTCAAGCCGTAAATCCATTAATTTGGCAGTTACTTGGTCTCTATTACAATTTTTTCTCAGAATGATTTTCATGTAAACTTCTCCAAAAACTCGTGAGAGACAAGTCAGTTCATTTCAGTCAAGTTTCATGTTTTACCTATGTTTTAATATTAATATAGGATGCGGCATATGATCTCACTATCTTTAGCACTAAGCCACTTCCTTATTAAACTTAGCTCAGTGGCTGGTCACAGAGGAATCATCTCAACCTGTAAAGCCGAAGAGCGTGCAAAAAGGGCTTAAAATTCCATGAGGATAAAAACTAGCAGAGAGCGCTGGATCTTTGAACCTGGCGCGAGCACAGCAACTAATATTTTAGGGATTGCGAAAGCCTTCTGACCCACAGTCAGACAAGGTTTAAATGACCGCAATGATAAATGTTTTAACTGGACTCTGTTAAATATTTTGCAGGACGCAATTTCTCAAGTTGCAGAGAGGAATATGAGATTTGCTCAGACTAAGGTTGAAACATCTCGGTTGCCTTACTTTCTGCAAACTCAGTAAATTAGCTGAAGTAGGTAGATATTGGCCGGCCAAAAAAAATGTATATGCTTGCTCTAAGCACTTTGTACATATGCGACAGTCTTTTGAACCATATCTAGAAGTTCTGAGCATTACAACGGATAGGTCAGGGTATCTAGTGTGTTATTCGCGGTTTATCCACCAAGAAGAGATGTATGTTTATAGCCTTTGTTCAATTTGACGGCACACTGGGCCGCTGAAGATCTCGATGGCGAAGGTTTTTAACCAATTTTAATATAATCTTTAGATGACAGAAGTTTTTATTGGCCTAATGTAATAACATAGGTAGGATAAAATTAAGGAAATTTGAACTAACCCTAATTGTCGATCGTTCTGCCCTACTCCTCTCATTTCGGCAGTACGTTTCTTGTATTCGACAATTACTTTTAGAAAAAGTAATGGTAGAGCCAAACTTCGAAGTATATTCATTCTAGAAAATTCGTTCAAGTTCCAAATCAAGGACCTATACGTTATCGAGTGTTTGCTTCCTCGGATTAAGGTTTGGAATCATATCGTGTCAATACCACCCAGAAGGATAATCGAATTCGTCATTGTGCTCGGCGTATGAGATTCATTGTGACAGTGGGTAGAGCACAATAGTCAAAGTACAAACCTCAATTATTCCTTATGACTTGAGTCCTCAGTTGATATTTAAACTTAACTTTAATTCATTTATAATACTATATTTCCACGTTACTTACAATGACCTCATATAAAACTATTGATCAGCAATATTCAAAGATTTGGAGCACTGCTTTGAGCAAGGAGTAATCAAAGAGGAAATACTTTTTAATAAATGTTATTTTATTTAAAAATTTTTGTTTGCAATATTTTTGCTTTGGAAAAAATGCAAATGAAAAATCTATAATTTCCATAGTTTATTGCGTAATAGTTAAGGTTTAGCAAACCTGTAAAACTAAGACATTACTTACAAATATTCTGGCAGAATTTTTATAATTTTCCCATCCTGCAGACAAAAAAATATTTTAACATTAAAATTCTTTGCTATAAGGTTTTTTTTCATAATTTTAAAAGGTAAAACATATTATATTTAATTGTAGTAATTCTAGGTGAGTACTCAATTTCTGATATATTTCCATATTTATGTATATTACCACACGAAATTTCACAACAAATATATACACATACCTATTCATAGTGGTTAGTCTTAAGCTGTATCATGCATGACACCTGGATTTAGTAAGTTTGCATGTCTTAAGCACCAAACCTCACCTGGTTTCACTTTCACTTCACTTGAGTCATTCAAAACCCTATATTCAAAATATGATATTAAAACTAACAAATATTATTTTAATTAAACCTGAAATGTGCAGTTCCACCACGTTGGATACTAAAACCCACCGATCAAGATGCCATACTCGGTAATCCAGTGGCCATAACCTGCAAAGCCGATGGATTTCCAATACCCACCGTACAATGGAAGCAGTCGATTGGTAAATTACTGTGAGACGATTGTATTATTGTTAATTGTTTGACGTTAAGAAGTCGGAGACACAATAAGGTATAGATATAAATGATTAGCGTGACGTACTCAGTCGATTTGGCCATGACTGTATAATATCTGTCTGTCTGTATAAACGCAAACTAGTCCCACAATTTTTTGGATATCATTCTGAAATATGGCAGACATTTTTTTCCCCCAAAGAAGCTGCTCATTTGTCGGAACCGCAGATGTCAGGCTACTATAGTATATTGCTATCATAAAAATTGATTGATCAAAACCATATCATACAACGAACTAATTGACAAATACTCTCAAATCACGAGTCAAATCGCGCGACCGAGGCGGCCAGTTGACTGGGACATTTCGTGAGAAATCACGTTCACCTGGTTTCCAATAAATCGACTGTGATATTCGCTGAGTGGTTTTTCTGTTTTAATCACGTATTGTGCAAGTGTATATCAGCTAATTCGGTCGAAAAATATTATCGCCGGCCCATAAACCGCACCATACTGTTATTTTTTCGGCATGCAATGGTGACTCATGAACTACGTGAAGAATGCTGCCTGACCAATAATGTATATTTTGCTTATTGACGAAGCCATTTAGCTAGAATAGAACATCATCGCTGAAGATGATTTTTCAATGAAAATCCGGATCATTTTCAAATTGTTGCTGAGTAAAATTTACGAACAAAGGACGATTCTGGTGGACATGTGCCTTCAGTTCTTGCGTCAATTCGATCCTGTAAGCATGTAAGTCAAGATCTTTTCGGAAAACTCGCTTCAGCAACGTTACAGAGATGCCCAACGCTTGAGAACGACATGTGAGAAACTGATTTGGGTCTTCTTCAATTGATGCGCAAGCGGCAATATTTTCGACACTACGGGCACTTCTTTGTCTCACTGGCACGGGATCATTTGGTACTGTGCCTGTGTATTCAAATTTTTCCACTAGACACTCAATTGTTGATCTGACAGGGCGATTATGACGACCATACTGTGGACGCAGCGCTCTTAAAGTTGAGGCCAATGACTAAGAAATTTCGGTAGTAAATATTAATAATTTCGACTCGTTGTTGGATCGTATCTCTTTCTATAACGAAATTACTTCGTTTTCTGTCCCTATCGGTCTACTTCTGTAGCGTCCCTATTGAAAACCCCGTTACTTCTCGGACAGTCGAATCTGTCGTTCTCAATCGAACTCTGTTCTTTACAACAATTTAAATCTTTCACGGAGTCCAATAAAACAGATGCCAATTTGTTAGAGCTGATTGAGAACAATCAGCTTCAAGAATAAGGCAGCGAACTTTAAAAATTTTAGTCAGCAATGCTTTTATCTGACCTAATTCTACAAGAAGGTTTACGTTTACTCTTCTCCAGTCCTCTGTCAATACGTTCGTAATACTCTATTCGTTTTAGTGCGTATTAAACTTCAATTATCGGATTGTCTGTTCGACGGGTAATGTGACGTCAACACTTGTACTTGCCTCAGTTTATAAAAACCTTGAACTTCACTATTTCTATTTATTTCCGGCAAATTATTTATCTCGTTTTGTTTAAAAATCTAACACGAGGCTTTATTTCCGGATAATAAAAATCGATACATATAATTGAGGTTTATTGACATTATTATACATATATATTTGATACATTTTTAAGGAACGAAAGTGTATCCATATGAAGTAAAGTTTTCTCATTCTTAAATTAAATTTTCCAATACTAAAATTATGTAACTCTCTTTTTCAACCCCAGGTGACTCAGGTGAATATCGTGAGCTCAGTTATGGCATTGGAAACGGTAACTCACAATCTGTTATCGAAACGTATAACAACGGGTCGCTGATCATACCAAAAGTTGGGAGAGAGCATGAAGGCAGCTATTTGTGCCAAGCAAGTAACGGCATCGGTGCGGGACTGAGTACACTAATCAAATTAACTGTGCATGGTGGGTGTGATTTCACTGTATTTATGATATTTACTAATCACTTTATTTCTAGTTGGTCCCTCTGTAACGGTTTCGAAGAAACAAGTTTCCGTCCGTCGTGGTGACCGTGTCACATTGCGCTGCGAAGCTGATGGCGATCAACCGCTGAATATAACATGGCGCGCCAAAGCAAATCATATTGATCCATCCTATGACATACGTTATCATATCAAAGATTCACCGTTAAGTCGTGGCACCGTCTCAGAAATGACCATACTACAGACCATACTTAACGATCGCGGTGAATACACGTGCATTGCCACTAACAACTATGGACACGATCGCGCTGTAATTCATCTGCAAGTGCAGGAGCCACCGAACTTTCCAGTAAATTTGCATGTCACCGATTTGGGTAGCCGGTCTGTAACGCTGGCTTGGTCGCCAAATGATCAAGATTCGATTTTTATGAATAACGGTGGTAATAATCGCGATTCGCAACCTATATCGAATTACATTTTGCAATATAAGAAAGCAGGCGGTATTTAAATATATATATTTTATCAAGCGAACCGGGTCGTATTAAGTATTATTTTTCTTTCAGATGTCTGGCATGAGCACAATAACCAAAAATTATTGCCCGGCGATAAGACCACCGCACAAATTGGTTCACTACGTCCAGCGCAAGCGTATCATTTCCGCCTTTACGCCGAAAATCATCTGGGTACCAGCGCTCCGAGCGATATATTGCTCGTTCAAACCGATGCTGAGGTGCCAAGTGGTCGTCCGCAAGATGTTTCCGCTGAGCCACTAGGGCCACAACAATTACTCATCACATGGCGTCCGCCAGAACGTGACACATGGAATGGGGAACTCTTGGGTTACACAATCGCATACCAAAAACATGGTGCGCCAGATAGCGTACAAAACTTCACTAAAGTTAGCAGCCTAGGTGGTGAAGGTCTTAATGATTTTCGCCTTACAGGGCTGGAGAAATACACACAGTATGCCATATCCGTGTCTGCATTCAATGTGAAAGGTGATGGACCACCAAGCGAGGTGACTATGGGTCACACGTTGGAGGATGTACCCTCTGCGCCGCCACAGGGTGTTACTTGCATTGCGCTAACTGCACAAAATATACAGATCTCTTGGCAGGCGCCACCAAAAGAATCCAATCATGGAATCATACAAGGCTATAAACTATTATACGAGCCCGGCAATATCGAATCAGAGTACGGCACGCGTGAAACAAAGATCACTTCAGCGTTGAGTACGGTGTTACATGGTCTGCAGCCTTTCACGAACTACAGCGTACAGGTTTTGGCATTTACACGTGCCGGTGAGGGTGTGCTGAGCCCGACTGTGTCGTGTACCACCGAAGAGGCGGTGCCAGATGCACCGGAGCGTGTTAAGTCTGTTGTAAGTAGTGAGTCTTCAGTTATCATTAGCTGGTTACCACCGCGTCGTCCCAATGGTATTGTCACCAAGTACAATGTCTACATCCGTATACTAGACAAAGGGCAAGAGTTAAAAATTCTCAAAGAAGTGTTGCCCGCAAACAATCGTCACTTTGAAGCTAAAGACTTAATGGTGCGCGAAACTTATGAGGCTTGGGTAACGGCTTCGACACGTGTGGGACAGGGACCGAGCACACCGGTGATCAAATTAATACCGAGCCCCTCTGTGCCCGCAGCCATTATATCATTTAGTCAAACTTTAAGTGTCAGCTGGCGAGTTGATCTCAAACTGGCATGCGTCTTCGTTGGTAACCCAAAACCGAACTCGGAATGGAAAGTGTTAAATGCACGTTCTAAGAAACATTTTCGCTTGGAGGTGAGCAACGATAATACTCTGACTTTGCGCAATATACAGCGTACTCACGAGGGAAACTATTCGTGTGTGGTACGAAATTCGATTGGCTCCGATCACATTGTCTATCAGGTATACGTACAAGGTGAGTGGAAGTTTTAATTAGTTTTAGATATTGTGATATGATTTAGTAAGGTAATAGTGGAGCTGCTAACAATCGGCTTCAAGGCATTTTCTCTATTAAAATTCAAAATAACTTATTAAGAAAACTTGTGATAGACTGTATGCCTACGGATTTGTTTAATATTGGATTTTAAATTTGTCATATGGGGGACCGTAATATATAAGGACTCCTTTTAACGGCGATACTTTCTTTCTGCTTAGCTCATTCTGAGGAATACTCCTAAGCCTCGAATATAAACTAGAGGTGAAGTTTTAGGTTACGTTTTTTACAATGTTTTAGGTCTTCATTTATGTAATTTATAATCTTAATTTATGAAATCTTTAATTATTATACTCCTCAACACTCTCCGTTTTTGCTGGAACTTTCAAAGCTAAACAGAATTTATATAAAAAATTTGATTTTTGGTAGAACGAATTGGAATCATCAAAAGGAATAAGCCGTTGATCTTAGCTGGATTTGTGTTTTGTTAATATTACCCTACCTTAATAAGGTTGTGCCTCTACTGGCATATTTTCCTAGGCATTTTCACACTTGATATATTTATTATGATTAAATACAAAAATATATCTTAATTTTATCTCATTTTAGTACCACCATCTGCTCCCGTGCTTTCCGTCATCGGCAGTACCACTAACTCCGTGTCACTGCAGTGGCGAGTAGACGACATTGGCGGTGCACCGCTGCGTGGATTTACAATGACCTTCCGTAAGGAATTCGGCGACTGGGAAGAAATTGAATTGGATCGACGTGTTAACTCTCATTTAATAGAGAACTTGGATTGCGGCACGCGATACCAGTTTAATATGGTGACTTTCAATAAAATTGGAACGAGTGAAACAAGTGCCATCGAAACAGCCAAAACGAAAGGTGGGAACGTAAAATTTCATTACTTTATAAAAAGAAGAAATACTTGTAGTTGCACTAAGGAATTAACCTCAGTAAGCAATTTTGAAGCGGCTGAATTCAGTTATTGAGAAGTTAAGTCTTTAAAACGTGAATGGCTCTTAAGAAGACTGGTAGTCGACCTCTATATGGACACAATTTGAAACCACACTACTTATTGATACTCTTGTCCTCTTTCTTTGCACCAATTTAGATATTCGTTAGTAAAATAGCTGAATGAAAATAACCTGTATGAAAGAACAAATTTTACCACCAAAACCGTGCAAACCGAATGGTTGAAAGTTTGGTCGTGAGTTCCATATCAAGGTTTATGTATGCAGCAACTCGGGGAATGTAACAATTATATTTCTTAGTTAACTCGAGATTATCGTTCGTTGTGGTATTTATCATTGAACATAGAGACATTGAGTTTTCTATTTTAATATTTTCCCCTAACATGTTTTAAAATTTTCTGGCTTTACAAAAATACAAGGGTATTCTGATCTGACAATGCTTAGTTTCACCATCCAATAGCGTCACTACCGCAAGAGAAAAAAATAACGTACTGTAGGATATTATCGTAAGTGACTACGGTCTATCATTTCAAACGAAATGAATCCACAGTTATGCTATGACCATCCATAGTGTGATCAAAAGGCGCTAATAGGCTGTGTACTGTGAGACTTCTCCTGAATAACAAGCGTCAAAAATAAGATTAAAGAGTTTCTACGTGGGATATGCCGTTTTCAGGGCTACCGTAGAAGATAACGGAACAGACCCGATATAACTAGCATTGCATCTTCAAAGACCTCATGGATTATTTCCTGCATGAAATATAAGATTAGAAAGCTATAGGCGTAATGAAGGCCGCCAAATTGGTCGAATTGTATTACGAACTGCTGAACTATATTCTTTATTATCCAAATTTGCACGCAGGTTTTATTTTTGATTTGAAAAACTCAATGGCTGCAAATTTTAGTGGAAATGAGGACGCTATTGTCGCCATAGAGGCTTACTTTGGACTAGCTAAGTGCATAGACCGCCCTTATTTTCCTCTTTGACTGATTCGAATTGTATACCATATAATTATGCATATTCTTTATAAATATCAATATTTAAAGTCGAGTTTATGACTCAAGGTTTATAATTTGAACCAGACAACATAATACCAGTCACGGTTAACAAAAACAAAACTCCATATCCTCAATAACTGCGTTTAAGTTACAACCAAAACGCAGTGTAATAAAATAAAAGTTTTTTATTATATTGTAACGGAGTTTTTTTATAGGCAATAAGCCGATTGCGCCACATAAGCAAAGCTTGATACGCTCGAATATCACTTCCGCTTTGTTGGAGTTATCCTCATGGCAAGATGGCGGCTGTCCAATACAATACTTCAGCATTGAGTTCAGACGTTATGGTATTTCAAGTGACTGGATCATCGTCTCTAGTCGCATAGAGACACACGTATGTATCTTTTGCGTGGAATAAATCTTAGATATCACTATCTCTACTTGCAGACACGCTATACAATCGGCGATTTGGAGCCTGGAGCTGCATATAACTTGCGGGTTGCGGCGCACAATAATGCTGGATCCACGATTAAGGAGTACTACTTTGAGACGCTGCATTTTAACGGACTTTCAGCTGAGTTAGACCATGGCGACTTACCCGAGGTGCGAACACTCTTTCGTGATGTACATCTCATAGCGGTGATTATAACATCGGTGTTTGGTACGATCTTGGCTATAATCGGCGCTTGCATATGCTTCAAGAACTGTTAGTATTATGTAAAATATATATAGCAGAAACACTTGCATTAATTATTTGTATCTCATATTTGGTATGTTTGCTGTAGATCCACGTCAACTATTTGCACGGAATGTCGACTCGATGCGGCCGCATGGTGCTGATTGCAAGGATATACAACATCGTGAACAATACTACGGTACGGTACGCAAATCATGCCAGCAATCACCACGTGAATCGGTTGCTGGGCTTGAACGCATACCTGAATACTCTGAAGATATCTATCCTTACGCTACATTCCATTTACCAGAACATGAAAATCAATCGGCTAACATACCGCTCAACCGCAAAGGAGGCCTGCCGGCAATGTACGATCCGCGTGGCGGTGGTGTTGCAGACGACAATACCCTCTCCAGCACGGGTGCCAAGGTGAAGCGTTCGGTTTCGGCGGGCATTGGCAGCAGCGCTTCAAATGCAAATTTAGGCGGTGGACCGGGCCCGGCGTCGGGCGAATGTAGTCATACGAATACTGAAAAACGGCATAAACGACGCTCGAAAGCAATCAAATCGGAGTCGGAGGAATACGATAGCTTGAATAGTGATAGCGATTTGAGTGGTGAACGTATGCGTGAACGTGAAGAAAGTCGCAGCGGACGTGAGTCCTCTTCACATCTAGACGATAGCGGCTATAATCGTAAGTATACATATGAATTATAAAGTACGCTAAAAGTACTGATTTAATATTATCCAAAGAAGACTTTCATTCAAACTTTACTTCCACTTGTGAAAATGTTTCTAATATGTACTTAGGATTTTAATGCTTGAAACCTAGTTTCGTGTAGGAAATAGACCAAGCTGTTTGAGAATATCTAAGGAAAGGTTCCCAAAAAGAGGTTCTTGTCTTTTGTGCACAGTAATTATTCGCGCCAACATTTTCTTATCTTGAATTTTGTAAGTCATAAATATCTAATAGAGTTACAGTACTAATAGTAAATAACTCAACAGTATTTGTTAACCTTCGTGTTGTTGACTTTTAAGATTCCACGTGAGACATTTATTGACCTTCGGCCGAACTGAGTTTCTGCAACTTTTAAATTGCTCGAGGTTTTCTTAATCAGTAAAGACTTTGACGAACGTCGTAACATATAACATACGAGTATATATCGAAAATAGAATTCCAGACATTTTAGACTCTATCATACAGAATCTCTAAATAAGCGATGGTTTCCTTTATGACGCTAGCGAACCAACGAGTTTCTAGACAGCTTAAACATAAAGGATAATTATTATTTGAAGATGGTTTAAAAGAAACGGTATTATATCACGTTCGCGTTCATTTGAATTTAGCGGGTGCCAGCCAGATAATCACTTAATTTTTCCATACAAAATTGAAGAGCGGGAATTCCCGCTTTTTTTCTACAGGTTAATTTTTTTTTAATAGTGTGAACAAATTAGGGAATTCCGGCATTTAATTTTTCAAGAGCATTTTTATATGTGCGAAAGAAATTTCGGAAATTCCTTAAATTAATTCTGAATTCTTTATTTTTAATTCTTAATTCTTTATTTTTACTTAAATATTTTTATTTTTTCAACTTATTATTAAATACAAATATTATTGTCTGGTATGATATATTTCAAAGCATTCGGCGGGTCATAGCGCTGGCTTGTCAGGACAGTTCTTGCATTGAAAGCTTGTCTCCTTCCGGACTCCGTTTTCTGAACACACCTTACATCTCTTTTGGTAACTTTTGTTTTTCCCTTGATTGTTATGTCCGAAAGCGAAGGGAATTTTCTCCGGGAAGTGACGGGTACTCATGTCTATTGGACAAGTCGCATTTTGCGCTTTTGGAGGGCGACTGTGAGATGTTACGAGATTCACCAAATCCTTGCCTTCAGTAACATTGGCCTGTAGATTGAACAAGCTTACTATAAGTTCTTCACGAAAATCTATAAAGGAGCAGTTCAGATGAAACTGTTTGTGTATGAAAAATGAATTCCATACAGCCATGTCCAGTATGTGAAATAAAACCTTTTTATACCATCTAATTGTTTTTCTGGGACTTGAATAATAAGACAATAATTGGTCGGACCGATCAATTCCTGCCATGTTCTCATTATAAGCAGCAATGTCTATTGGCTGCATCTTCTTTTGGCCTCTTCTATTAGTAATTTCGATTAGACGTAGTTGATGTGCCGTAGTTATGGACAGAACGTCACGTTTGTCTTTCCATTTTGTCACATAAACATTTCCTGTTCTTCGCCAAATATACTCGCCTCTTTTCAGTTTCTTACTGATTATAAATTTACGGCTCGGCTTACGATTGGAACGTAAAGTGGCAGTAGAATGGGTTTTATATTGCAGTAGCGTATTAGACAAATCAATGCTGTTATAATAATTATCCATATACAAATGATGAGCACGATTGAGGTATGGAGCCATAAGTTTTAAAACTACAGCTTTTGTTTTGGATCCTGTGACCTCTTCACCAATATCTTTTCCAGCATATATTTTTACATTTAAAATATACCCATCCTTTGTGGTAAGTTCGTAAAACTTTATACCATACCGAGCTCGCTTTCCCTTGTTGTATTGTCTAAAGGATAACCTTTCTCTGAAAAGCGTAAGCGATTCATCTAAAGACAAAGCTGTATCTGGTTTATACGCCTTTTGAAAGTTTTTCAAAACCAAATCGAGCATCGGCATTATTTTTTCCAGTTTTTTATCTTGATATTTTTGTTGATAAGGCATATGACAGCTGAGGCATCTTAGAATTTGCTGAAAACGTCTTCCAGACATTACAGCACCAATATTGGTTGATAATATAAGATATCCTTCGAAGATATTTTCCTTATCGACGGTTTTCGGTTTTGGCCTTGTAATAGGCACATGCCTAAAAATTTAAGCATTTCATATTTTGTTATTGCAGTAAATTGCCTCTTAGGCCGCTTTCGCGTTGAAGGCTTAGGGTCAATATCTTCCCAGTGAATCCCATAAGCATTGGTGGAAGAAAGTAATAACTCCATGACGTCATTATCAAAAAATTTTTCAAATATCATTAGCGGGGATGTTTCGCTATCAAATTCATCCTGAACTCCCCAAGTAGCAGCAAAGGGGAAAAGTGGTATTGGTTTTGTTGTTTCACGCCAAATATCGTCACACTCAACTTCGCAAATATCGGTATCGTCCTTGTAGATGGAATCTTCCTGATATGTTGTGCTATTTTCACTCTCATCGTCATCAGTGGAAGTAAACTTCTTCGTCTAATGAATATTCGTCTTCTGAATCACCAAATATTTCGTCCACCAAATTTTGCAATATTTTATTAGCCATATTTTATTACAAAATACCATGTACAACTTGGGCAAAAATTTTGTTTTAGTTTTGCAAGAAAAATTAAACTTTCGCATTTATCACACTCAGAGAATCAATTAATTTCAACCACATGAATTTCCTATGCACTTTTGTCGGGATTTCCCGCATTTCGTTTTATTGAATCTTCCCCTCAGCAAACAACAAATGACTAGCACGTTAACTTTGAACTGGGATTCCCCAAATTAAATTTGTTTGAATTGCGGTTGGTCTGTCAGGGATGGTAGTTGACGACTTTACTAACACTAAAAATGTGCAGTGATAAGAAGTGAACCATTTTTGACGGTGGAAAAGCCCTATTCAAATAGCGCGGGAATTCCCGCAATTGTTTTATTGAAGGAAACATGAATGACGGGAATTCCCGCAATTTACGCGAGTGTGATATAAACTTCTCTTTTCTGTGGTTTACCGCTTTATTTCAAGCAGATGCTAATATTCCTTTGCTTGGGCCCCTTTGAGAAAACAGTCTTGAAACAGTTCTATAAAATATTATTTGGTATATATAAAGGCTAGTAAAAAAATAGAAATATTTTTGTATTAAATTGAAGGTTTTAGCTTGCACTGTTAGGATGAACCGAACGGCACGTCCGGACTATACAGTGTTTGTCCGGAAAGTAATAGGACTCAGTCAATTAAAAAAAAATTGTAGAAACAATAGTTAAAATTCTTTAAAAATTTTCAAAATAAGCTCCTTCTGCGTCACGAAGACATTCTCATTACTATATACACGAGTCGCTATGTCAGTTTTTGTGGAACTCGCAGGTCTCCCAGCACGGTCTTCATAAGGCACCTCTTCCCGGCCCTCCAAAAAGGCCTGTTGCTACCGAAACACACCACTTCCTGCTAAAGTAACATCTGGGTAAGCCTGCTTGATTGCTTCAAACGTCTCTGTGACAGATTTACCGAGTTTCACACAGAGTTTAATCGCGTTTATCCCAAATCCCCAGGTGCTCGGAGACAGCTGACCAGCCGCTCATTCGTTAGCAAGAAGGGCTAGAACGCCCTCTACCGAATCCAGAGTACAGTCACAGTGGAAGAAAATCCCTTTTACTTTCCAGACAAAAGCAGTATGTGTATTTATAAGAATTTTCAAACTAAACTCCCGGCATTACTGGCAAGTTTCTTTTGATATGCACCACTCACAGAGAACTGACATTCTCGTAAGGCCACTTTTTATCCTAGTATAATATTATCGATTTATAGATTAAAATTGGGTTAAGTAGTTTCTATTTTCTGAGTTTCACCTGAGTCAAAATATTATAAATTGTATATATAATTTTTTTTGGGTACAAAACCTTAAATTTCGAACGATTTATAGCATAACCTGATCGCAATTATACAACGCGAAATATAGGTTACTTCTATGCTAGAATATCAAATATAAACTTAGTTCAATTGTCCAATTATAAATTAAAATATTTCTCTTAATACTTACAGCGCACGGTCATAGTCCCTGCAGTGGTGGTAATGCCGGAGGCAACAAGGAACGTCTTTCAGTATTCAGTAGGCCTCAACTTCATAGTAAGTTAGTACCTATTTTAACTAATTAACACATTTTGAGATTTTGCAAGCATTACAAATACTCGAACTAACCCCCTCACCGACCTGTAGTACCTACAACTACCACGGCCCAACGTCAGCAAAATCATCAAACCACCACCAAAACTCATCTTAATTACTAACCACTTTTGCGCGCATTAAACACGTCAAACACGAAACACAGCACACCCAAACATTTACTAACCCGCAAGCCAAAAGTTAAAACACAACAACCGTTCGACAATTTTGTGTCCTACAGTATTTTCTTTAAGTAATTTTGCATAAATATACCTACGTATATGTATATATATATGTATGTTTAGAAAATATTTTGCCGATTCACAAGAAAGACTCCAAGAAAGAGAACTCACGCACTTCTAAATCACCGAAACCTTCAACCAACATAGCAACTAAAACAACAACTGCAACGCCAACTGCACTCAAATCCACACGCACCTTTTTCCAAGCCATTATACCTACACGCATCATATCCAGTGCCCTGCATGCACCCGAACGTCAAGCACCTCCCCAAAACCCTTCCGCCCACTCACAGTACGTGCAAACACCCATCACAGCCAAGCAGTGCAGTTCACTGGCAGCCGCAGCAGCAGCAGCCGCCGCAGCCAAAGCGGGCAATAAAAAGTCGAAGTTGCATGGTCAGGCCGCACAACCCCATCAGCTGCAGCAAATGTTGCCACAACGTTCATCAGTCACGTCACCCGCACAGCTGCAACTACAGCAACAGCATCAGCAGCAACGTCAACCGCAAGCACTGATCAGCGCCACGCCGGCCGCACGGCCATTATCACCATCACCACCATATCGTTTCGCTTCGTCGACATCATCAACATCGACTTCATCCAAGCATGAGCGTGTCACCAACATCAATACTAACATAGCGACAACAACAACCCCCCCAATCACCAACATTTTCAGCAACAACCACGAGACAATCATTTGCAGCAATACAAGTCCCCAAGCATTGGTTAGCACCATCACCACCACCACCACCACCAACAACATATCCAATAACACCCCAACAACCACACATGTCATCAACAACTGCGCAAAGCCGCCGAATTCGCGCAGCGGCAGCAGTAGTAGCGATAGCATCGGATATCACAAGCGCTCGCTTTCCAATAGGCAAGCCATTAGTGTTGTAGTTGATGTGTTTTTCAACACTGAATACTTTTAAACTCTAATATGCACTCGCCTACACACACAAACATTTATACAGCATATATTCATAAATGTTAATCACTCAGTTCTAATATTTTRTTAATTGCAATGTTCAGTTTATATTGAAATGTTAAATTATTCCGTGGAAGTTAGAGAATACATTCAAATATTTGAATTCGATCGCTTAACTCTTCATACACAGTTAGCTCTTCTCTTAAAGTTCAATGTTCCAAATAACAATATTATCTTATCTCCTAACGTTTTTGGCTGAGGTCGAATCACGTTACCATATCAATTTGAAAAAAGACCTACGTAATGTTTTTTAATAAAATGCAATTTCTGCCATTTAATAGAATATTTGGGCCTTCGAAAAGTAAAAGCACGATTGGTTCCAAAATCACTAAAATTTTTCGAAAAACAACATCGCGTTAACGTCTCAACACCATTCATTCAAGATGTCATTAAACGTATTATTACTGGCGATATATCTTGAACCTATGCTTTCGACACGGAAAAAGACAATCAATCGGCCGAATATGTAGCAAAAGTGAGCCAAACCGAAAAACCACGTCCAAACAGGTCACAAAACAAGTTTACGTTGATAGTGTGCTTCGATTATCGAGGTGTGGCTCTATCCTTCCTTTCGACCGACCAAACTTAACAAGGAATATTATTTGACTGGTACACGCCGTTAGCGCGAAGGTATTCGTAAAAAGAAACGAGAATTATGGGCCTACGACAGTGTGCCGTCGCCACTGAATTAATTCTTTGTGAGTTTTTCGCCTAATTTTTAACCATTATCGCGGCGCAACCACCGTATTCGCCTGATTTAGGTCCGTGTGGCTTCTGGTTATATAGCAAACTCAAACGACCGCTCTTGGGAAACCATTTTAAGTCAGTTGACGACATTTAGTTTCCGAAAATTTACTTTAATAATTGCTTGAGGGAACAACATACATAGATTGTGAAGAATAAATTAGAAAATTTAAAATTATGAAAAAATTATTATCATTTTGTGCTCATACAAGTAGTAGTACAAGTATGTTCAACGTAAGGCTACCTAAAACCAAAATATTTAAAATGAGTATATTCCCCAAATAAGTAGCGTGTTTGACTGAAGTTGAATAAAAATTATCTCATTAATATTTTAATAAAAAAGAAATTCTGCTTTTACTACTTTTTGCACACTTCGCGACTACGCATCTCATGAAATTGCTTAAGGGGGGTGCCTGCTTTAGTGGCTTAAAAAATCGACTTTTTTGAAGTGTTTTTGGGAAAAGTAATAATTAATTAATCCGAAATTTGTACGCTTTATATATATTTAAACATCATCCGATTTTTTTTTTTTAGAAACGAAATCTATAATATTCTGCCTTTGGGAAGCAATTGACCGATTCATCTCGCATTTGCAGCGGGCAGGATTCAGGTCGCAATTTTTATCGGAAACAAAAAGTTAAAGAAGATTCATATTTGCTAATAACTTATATTCTGTTTAGACCAAGAAAATCACCAAAAGAAGTGTAAAATTATACAATTTCTAAAACATTTAAAAAAGTGTTTTTTGACCAAAAAAATGTTATCTTATGTGATTTAAAAACTTTTCCTAGTATCTTTTAGTTTAAATAGAAGATAATTTAATGACAAGGATAATAAACTTTGCCTCAATTCCATATGACGTTTAGCTTTTTTTTTCTATCTTGACCGATAATTCAGTAAAATCGCAAAATTGAACAACCGAGAAATCGCGTGTCAAAATTTTCGCTTTCTGCCCAATCGCTCATATATCTGCTAGACGCTCGGTCACTATTTTCCTTCTAGCTTCGAAAACACATCGAACTCCCATCTATAACTTTGGGGACGTATTCTTAGACAATATTTATAAATATTTAAACAAAAAAATCGATTTTTGAATACTCAAAAGCAAGATTCCCCTTAAATTAATAACCCATTACTTTCGAGAATAACATAAGTTGAGTTTTGAGTTAAGACTTTCGCAAAACCAAATATAATATATATACTGAGACCTTCTACATCTAAGTTGTGACCTCGGTAAATAAATACTTTTCGATGCAAAATAAGATTAAGTAATTTCACGCTATCCATGAAAGTGCTGTTTCATATAATACTCAAACATTTGTGAACTATCAACAAATTTTGGGTTCAAAAATGCGCACATCATCAATAAAATATTGTGTTCCACAAATTTCGGTTAAATTTTCTGAAAATAATCCATACCGTTTATGTTATTTAAACTCACATACTTGCATGCTGTCCCGCATTCATTTGCATGTTTTACTAAATACTAATCAGCACAGTTCTAATAATCCCCCAAACTTTAGTTCCCAATTGTTCTAATTCCTGCCGACAACTCATATTAATGCAGCTAATCGTATTTGTGGATTATCTTCAACAGCAGCATGGACCCCGTGCCCTTCGACTACCGGCTCTTTGACCCGCCACCAAAACAACCGAAACCAACAATTGCCTGTGGTGCACAGTCACAATCGCATCACCATCACCAGCGACAAACATCATCCACATCAACATCCACATCAGCATCCACATCCACATCTGCCCAAAATTCAACCAACAATACAAATATGCCCAGCGGTCTATCCGGTGGCAAAGTACGATCAAAAGCTACCGATACTAATTCCAACAGCGGCAGTAACTTCCTCCTCGCCGGCGAGTTCCAATGTACAACTAACAGCATCCCCGCCCCGCATATTGTCCAGTCGGGTTCATATGTCGAAATTCTGAAGCATGCCGCACCACAACCCCCCAACAACCAATCAAACAACCAACAAACAATCATGCAAGCGCCAAATGCAAAACGTCCAAGCGGCGTTGGCGCTGGCGGTGGCACAAACAACGGTAGTAATAATGTTGTCAGCGGTGCAGCATTGGCTTGTCACAACAAAAGCTATGGTGACTTTCTGACAATTACACCACGCCGCAAAGGCAAACTGCTTTCATCTAGCTATGGTGACAAACACGGTGGCGCTGGTGGTGGTGCTGTTGGCGGCTTGGATGGCAATAACCAAGACAATTATCGCCATCATTTGCCTACCAGCATCGAACCATTACATCTACTCGGCATACCCAATGACAACATGTCTACTTTCTTTGACTATCGTGCCATGGAGACGCTCAGCAATAGTGATACGCTCGCAATTGGCAGCAGTCTCTCAGGGCATGCACACAACAATAGAGGCAACAAAGCATATGACACGAGTACCACTTGCTTAAATGCAAACAATTATGGTGAATCACCGCAGAGCAATAGTAATTCAGGCATACCTGATGAGTTCCATAATATAATTAGCGAGAAGAATCTAAGTCCACCCTCGGCCTTCAGCGATAACAACAGTTGTCTGGCAAAAGGTAAGGTCTAAACATCAAAGTCTGGTAGCAGCACATCAAGGAAGATCATATCAACATTGGAATTTACGACATAATTAACCTAAAAGAACTGAAGAATTCTGCATATCAAGTAAGCGAATCTCTCTAACGGTTATACTAGAATTACGTCATATATATTCATGAGAAAACAAAACAGCGGAGAAAACGTAAAAAGGAGAATCATTATTGGTTTAGGGGTAACAATCGATCGAAACGAAGACGCAACCAAAGACTTTTCTGCAGCATTTAATCACAAGCGACAAATATAAAGTAAATATATTTAGAATTAAACGACGGGTGTGTTCTTAAGTTCACCGACATTCACAAAAAGGAAATCTTCCAAGAAGTATCGCTTTCGTATATCGTAAAAGCCATAAGACACAAAGCTCTACACATCTCCAAAAAATAGCATACTTTTAGATATGTGTTACGTTTGTATGTACTAGGCTATACGCTAATCCATGTAAATTTATAAAATTGCAGTATTTATGGCGAATGGCGCCTAGTTAAATTAATTAGAGGTAAAAAGTGGCATTTCGTTTACAATTGAGTTCTCGAAACCGTTAGCTTGAACGGACAAATGAGTGAATGATGAACATAATCGAAAGCGCTAACTATCAGATCCATTTCATCGACACTTTTACGTAAGAACCATAACCTATCCGCAGAATTACTATCAATAGAGGGGAGCCATCTCAAAAGATTTTGTCATCGCACAACATTTGCAGAAAATATGATAATATTAGACTGTTATGTTTAAGAGAGGAATTTGACTCTTTTTTTACTTGTCTTAAACTGTTTAGGAGATGATTTTAGTCCGCAATTTTGCTTCCCAGTAAGCCGACACTATATTCAATTTTTCGAAGGGTATCATGACGCTAGAGAGAGAACAAGACCGAAATAATCTGCTTTTGACAAATTCCGGGAATCTTTATTCATGAGAGCTATCAAGCTTTCTGGCACATTTCCTATTATTATATTTCTACAAAATTGCATGACCTGTGCTGCAAGGATACACTTTTTATGAACTATAATGCCAAACTTGATTTTGGAGTCATTTCCCAACCATACTGTCTTTCTTTTTGGGTGGTAAACTAGGAGAATGGCGAATCATTAAAACATCATTGTAATAAAACAAGTTCGTGAGCAGTGTTTAGCATTCAGTATTAAATAGATTTTTTGTTGCAGCGTCTTAGACAACATTTCCGCTCCGTAATGGGAGTACTTGGCATATATGTTGGTTGGCCAATGCCACGCCTATAAAACGCCATTAAATGAAAACATATAAACCAACGACCATATCAAGATAAATAACAGGGGAACACAGTTGTAAGTGACATTGACTGAAAAATGGGTATGGCTCTGCACTAAACCACTTAAGCTAGCTACAAGAACCAAATTCGATCACGGCAAATCCCTTTAGCACCCCTATCTGATAAAATCGGGAGATAACTCGGTTCACTTCCCATATAAAACTGTTAAAAAGTACTAAAATGTGCGATGGGCATTATTTAAAACTATTCAAGCCGCTAGGTACCTAATATGTAGAGCCCAGTATCTATAGTTGGCTGTTCGCCTTCAACTGAACTTAGCCCTCCTTCCATGTTTCTGAGTTAAAATAATTTCATGAATATTTTCTTCCATTTTCATTACATAGTCTCACTTTTTCAAAAGTTTTGCTTTGGAGAGAGTCCTTCTTCTGTTATCTTTTCACATTTTTACTATAGAACTGAATTTTGCTGCGAGCTCTTTTAGCTTTGTCTTTCCAACTGTGAAAAAAAATCATTTTTTATAGATTGTTTTGAAGATGCTACGAGTATTATGGGTACTTTGTAGATATGTTAGTTTAATAGTTTACAATTGTATCTGTAAACGTATACTTAATGCCAAATCCTTCTTATACAGTCTAGTACCGAAGGTTCTCAATTTCCATATACGTAGCTAAGTGGAAAAAATTTTTGACGATTGATTACATTTTCCAGTAAAATTCTTTACGCTGGAGAAAAAATTTTTGTTGATTTTTCTTATCTGACTGCAAAATATTTGAGATGTTGCTATTGCTAAGCTCTGTATTGGGAAAGTCAGAAGTGCTTAGGTATTTTGGCGTATAGTTAAATATACTGATTTCTGATATAAAAAGCTAGTTTATTTAAAATAAATTTTTTATATGATTAACTAATACTACTATATAAATTCTACCCTAATTAACTACGTTTTCAGTTAGTTTATGGAATTGACTTCAATTTCAGCGATTCGTGGTGAGAAATGTTTAAAAATAAGAACAGAATTTTGTAGAAAAAGAGCAAAGGAAATTGCATTAGATAAGTTGATTATTACATATACCATACATATTTATAAGCATAAGCAACACACTGTTAATTAGTTAAATCTACAAATGAAGAATTAATTACCATAAATATAAACGAACTCCTTTTTTAATATTGTGTACATATATACTATAACGAAGTATTTGAAAGCATTTAAATATATGCATTTAAAACTCAAATATCGAACACGAAACCAAATATCAATATTACAAACTGAACATACTGAGAAATTACATAGTTATCTTAACGACTGTATGTGTGTACATATATAGAAACAAACGTTAATATCGTTTATTTTAGTCAATAAGGTAAAGAAGTCAATAAATCATTAACAATTATTAAAAATAATTATAACGGTATAAGCCCCTGCAAGCCCATAGACAACAAAATTAGACAGTTTGGTAGCAGCAGAAACCGTGAATTTGCGATTAACCCTCGATATCAATTTAAAGCGTCAATTTTTTTATAAAAATTTGCAAACTTTTGAACTAACTATGTATTTAAGAAAAAATTAAAAATTTAGGCGCAACAAATTTTAGAAAAAAAAAAATGAATATAAAAAAATTTTAAGACATTATAACAACGCGNNCTGCTTGAAGTTAAATTCGGGATTCCGTAATATAAGTTCGATGTTTACTTTTGTGCTTTATAAGTAATACTAAGAAATTTTAGAAAAAAAAAAATGAATATAAAAAAATTTTAAGACATTATAACAACGCGCATACACTGTATGGTATTTAAGTGAAATTATAAGTTTGAATCAAAAAATTAAATAAATGTTATCAATTAAACGAAGGTTAGGTAATAAAATAAAATCAGCAAGCAGCAAAGAAAAATTTTATAAATAAATTTAGTAAAAAAGAAACCGCAAATTACAAAAATTACTTGAATAAAATAAATTAAATTAAATTGTGCGTCACTTATATTTCCAAGAATATTTAGATTTACATAAAATTAACCAAAAATCATATGACATATATACATATATATACACACATACAATTTAGCCCTAAAAGTACGATTGCGAAACCAAAAAAATAAGCATTTATACCAATTCCATAAGGTATTTTTTAATGAAAGCTCAATTATTTTGGCATTTGTTCGTCGTGTGTATTTTCGAAAACCAAAACAGTAAGCATTTCTAGATCATAAGTCCAACATGCCACAAAAAAAAAACAAGCTGTAACAATAAATATAAAATGAAAAACGCATAGTTGTAGTATCTAATACATGAACTAATTGAAATTTCCAAAACAAACAAAAACATATTGATAAGAATTCAATAAATATTGATAAAGTTCCGGTTTGGATACTTTTAAAAGTAATTAATCCTTACCAAAGAGAATTTTTATTGTAGTCATAAAGGCAGCACTAAGACCACATTTCGTTAAGTTAAGTTATACTAACATAAATATATTTGAGGCGGTGAAATGTTCTCGCTGGGCAAAGGGAGTGAAGTGAGGTTATGGCGTTGAATACTGCAGCTGAAATAGTGGGGAGTGACGTTTCTTGCGCTTGATCTACGTAAATGAGGAATGAAGCGCTAATATTATCAGTCTTAATAATAACTTTTCAACCTTCTATCAATATTTAGTACTTCCTTGTCGTATTATCTGGGATAATATTAAAGATCGACGCATCATAAACAGTCAAACGATAGTATTGGGCCATGCCACTGCTTTCTAAAAGGCGAAAGGCAATATATTTTATAATCTAATATAACCACGCCGAAGAAGAATTTATGAAAAATTATACGGTAATAAAAATAAACCTTCTTAAAAAGGAAGAAGTTATCGGCTGTAACAATTAGATTTTTATTAGCGTGTTTTGTTAATACTTTTTTTCTAAAACCCGTAAGATTTCTTTAAAAAATGTACTCAATTTAAAAAACATTCGCCCAGTATTTGAGCTATTTAACTGGCATACCCCCAATGATTGATAAAACTGCCACCGAACTTAACGCGCCATCCACTGATCTGATGAAATTTGACCCAGCCTAGTCTATTTAAACTGTACAACCTTATTATGTTCATGTGAAGTTTGATATGTATATATAAGTTAGTGTGTGTTGGCAGTAGTGGGTTGTTGGACAAAAATTGTAAAATGAGTCTATCTTAGTGGCAAAGAGTATTCAATGAAGATAATAGAATCATCGAAAATTTGCCACTTGTGAGTCATCCTGAATAGCGTGAAAATATGTAAAATCGGATGATAACCAGGGCACCTTCACATATGTGACCTGGTCTACGAAAAGGGAGCTGTTAAAAATAAACAACTCGTTTCGTCAGTATCTCGTTATCTCATTAATTGTTCTCCTTTCCAGAGGCTTCAAGGACGTCCAGTAATTGTTGTTTTTGGTCGGAATATTATTATAGTTCATCGTGTAAGTTGCTAGTGTGGAACATTTAAAAAATTAACACTGAAGAAGTGACGTTGACTCTAATACCTCGCAGCTGCTGTTGTCTTGTTTTCATTCGTCTCTCTTTCCGGATGTTCTGTTATCACATTTCTGTAAGTGTTTCTGTTGATTATCGTATTATTATTGAAAAAGCATCTCATCTTCCATCCGAATCAACTAAAAAGTGAAAATTGATTTTTTGACACCTAAGCCCCCTTTCCGCAGACCAGGTCAATAATAAATCAATAAATAAATGCGTCAGAATCATTAAATCTTACATCCACGATGTTACAAAGAACGTCTTATATTATTTGGTCATTCCCAAAGTATGTTTTTAACATGAGTGAAATCAATGACAACCATTCTTACTTCCAAAATAACAAAATTTTTAATACTAACTGATTCTTTCACATTCCACTGCCTTTAAGGTATGCCACTGCTATTCAAGCTCTTAGATAAAATTGTTAAATATTATATATTATTATATAAATAATAATGGAATTACTTTCGCTTAATGCCGAAAATATTTGACACTATATTATACTACATCAAATAATTTCCGTTATTTTAACAAACCTTTAACACCGGTTTTAGTAGAGAGAGTGAGAGTGTACACTAAGACCGGGAGTTGATTCGGCGCCGTCCGCAGCAACTCGTTCTGAGGTTTTCTTGTAAGGGTATATAAAGTCTAAAATCTATGTGGACAAAGCCCGATTTGATTCAAGCCTTGAGCTCATAAAATTTGATGTTTCTCTGTTTTTCACTCTTTATTCATTATTTAACGCTGAACATGAATGGAGTCATATTCCTAATGTTATTCCGGGTTTCTGTTTGATGTTTTGCAGAACAGCTCAGTGTACGTCTGAGGGTGACTTTAATATAATTTTCGCTGATGGGAAGTAGCTTATGGTTGAGAAACCAATTGAGTCCATCACCTAGAATATAACTTAATAAAATACTAAACTTGATTGTAGTTCATCCAAAGTTCTGCCGAATAATGAATGTTGAATTCTTCTTCAACATTGCTCCCATAAAATTTATTGTTAATACTCGGGATATAATTAAGGTAAACAATTTGTCGCCAGTTTCCGTTAGTGTTCCTTAACGTATGCATAGATATTAAAACAAGTTTTCGTGTATTAACATTTTCAGCTATCAAGGTTATGCCTGAGTTATGGTTTATTTCAGTAAGTATATTCTTTATGAAATGACAAACGAAGCTGAATATAAATCAGGTAACAGCTGTCAAAAGGTCAACTTCGAAGAAAGAAACGAAAGCATTGAAAATCATTAAGCTAAAAAAACCCCCGTAAATCACTGTGCATCGCCCTAAATGAACAATTGAGCGTATTCGTTAAGATTCCATCAAAATTTTTAAATTAAATATTATGTATGCACACATTTGGCATTCTAAAAGCACTATAATTTTTTAAGAAATACATACAAGGTGCGTTCAAAGTAAAAAGCACTATAAAAACAGAACAAATGGTTTTTTCGGCAAAATAAATTCATTTTATTCAGAATAGTCTCCTTTTGCTTCAATACAGCTTTTTGCGCGGTCCAAAAACCTGTCGAACGAGTATATTAGCTGGTTCCCGTCAGCCGGTATGGCCGCCAGTATGCCGGTGCAAGCCTTTTGAATGGCCTCTACGTCTGCATAACGCTTTCCTTTCGTCATTTATGTCCTCTCGACCGCTTTGAAAACGTTGAAACCACTTGTGCACTCTGCTACGGGATAGGCAATCATCGCCATAAACTTGTTTCATCAATTGAAACGTTTCGGTAAAAGCTTTACCAATTTTAAAACAAAATTTAATGTTGGCTCTAATTTCCGTACCAATAACACAAACATATTCACACTTAAAATGCAATAACTTCACTTCCAATCTATGAAATGTCATGAAATTTTCACTGGACAATCAAAAAGGATAGCAGTTTCTAACTCACCAGTCGAAAGCATACCTTTGAGAGCAAAAACAAGCTGAATATTTTCAGGAATTTTCTTTTATCAGCTTTGGTTAAAATACATGTTGTTGGTATGTATGTACATCATAGTATTAGAGTTTATACTTAACACGTTCTGATTTTATGGTATAAACTCATTGAACATAAAAGCCCGCCGTACATACTATACATATGTACATAGTCTATGTATGTATATTGTAGACGAACGAAGCTGATAAAGGATTCGGTTTTTTGCTCGTATGTAGAACCATGTTTTAAGGTTTGAATAATCAAATTGGAATATTAATATTCATGTAAATACATATGGACGTACATATTTGCATATTTGTATTGTATTATGTTATGTGAGTACATTAATTTAAGTATATTCTTATTGCCCACAAAACTTTTATTCTACATACATAAATGTATAGCTAACTAGCTTCAAGCTAAAACATCGTGTTATACTGTTATACAGCTTTTGTAATCGTGAGTAAGTTCAGTTCATAGCTTTCCTTCGAGGTGTATAAAGCTTTTGCGCATGAAGCTTTCTATTTCCGGTGAATATTATTTAAAAAAAAGCTTTCAAACTGTTTAGGCGAATATACAGTGCTATCGAAACGACCAAAAGCTTCCGAAACAATAAAATCGGAAATTTTGCTGTTTGCGAATCAAATAACAGGTATAAATCAGGTATGTTGCCTAATTTAGATAGAATAGGAAACTGTTTGATATTTAAAACAACGATAAGGAATAAAAGTTGAAAATGGAGTTACCATTGAACATTTTAAATAATCTTCCTAAGGGAAGAGTTTGGACAAATTAGTACTATGTTGTTCAAACAAAATTCTTCAAATAGCTGCCGCAAACGTGTGAACATAACATACTCAAATTGGCTTGATCTTGAGGATCTACCTTTTTATTTTCATCAAAGCTACTGTGAAGGAGAAATGAACTACCTCCATATATTCGAAATCAATTAAAGTGAACTCATGGTTAGTGCTTAGGCCAATTGACATGACCCATTCGAGAGATAACACGTTCACCACACTTGGTTTTCAATGAATCGATTGAGATATTCGCTGAGTGGTCTTCCTGATGGGGCCATTGAGCGGTTGCGCTTCCCAGTCACAGTAACGTGCCGGTCACATATCGGAAGAAGTACGGCTTAACGACGTCGCC